AAAAAAAATGGAGGGTAAATGAGGAATTTACTCCTACTTAAAAGAGTAACTTTTTTAAAGGTGTATATGTTGAATATGAAACATGTGTCTGGTTTGGTTAAAGGACCCATGTCCTTCCAAAACCACAAAAATAAAGGACCAATGTCTTCTTCTTTGTTAGCCCTTGATTTTAATAACATGGCACCAACCATATGGTAAATAATACACATGAAATGTAAATGACTATGCTATCTCAAAAGATTGTTTTTAAATATAATTCAACAATTGATTAGTTGTGCTACATAGTTGTTGTTATTATTATTATTATTTTTTGAAATAGTAGTTTCTAGAAGAATTGAACAAATACATGTGCAAATTATTGTTAAACTAAGCTTATTTTGGCCAATCAGTAGCTTTAAGAAAGCGCAAACTACTCGAATATGATTAACCTTCCTCTAGGACATCAGCGAAGAAGGATATTGGTTAATCTACAAAATTGTGGAAAATACAAACACTGCTCTTCGTGTAGTACTAAGGACCATTTAATTCAGCTCTCGATTTACATGCGTGAAGGAAAAACTTTCAAACACACAGAAAGAAACTCAAATATCTTCTACAATTGTACTGGTCTCATTCAGCATCTCCATATCTCCATTGATCACGAGATGCAACACAACTACTAGAAATAAATGATAAAATAATATTGTTATTTATATTTTGGATACAACTAGAAACGAGGAAAAGAAAACCTTATTTTGTTGTTTAAAAAGTTTACATAATTTTGAAAATGTTACAAAATAGACCCTGTTGGGTAACCATCTTGTTTCTTATTCTGTGTTTTTTTTAAATTAAGCTTATAAATATTATTTTCATCTACGTGATCCTTCTTTTTATAAACATTTTAAGGAAAACAAGCCTAAATTTTGAAAAGAAAAAAAACTTAGTTTTCAAAAACTCACTTCTACTTTTTAAATTTCTAGAAATTAAAAACTTACTAACAAAATTTGTACAAAACAAATACAATTCTTTTTATATACCAAAGTTACCATTAACCAAATTTGAAACCTTTATTATGCCATTGCTTTGAAAATAACAAAAAAAAAAGGAAAAAAGGAAAAAAAGGGCAAAAAGAGAAAAAAGGGAAAAACAACACTAATTGGAATTGATGAAGGCCGTGACGCGCGGGACAGGTATTGCTATTAGCCACTCGTTCTATCATCCACCTTGGCCAAACTCGTCACCAAAAATGTAAAAACTTCTCTTATTCCAACAACAACAATAATAATAATAACAAAACAAAATAAATATATACCTAAGTTCCCTTAGATAACTATTTTATTTTTAAAAACTAAGTTAGAAACATTACTTTTACTCCTCCATTCTTTTATTTTATTATATAGATAAATATATTTGGAGTCTAAACCAAATTTTGAGGGAAAAAGATCTCATTGGATAACCATTTTGTTTTAGTATTTTATTTTTAAAAATTAAACTTAACACCATAATTTCTAATATGTATATATGTATTTTGATGATGCGTGGACAGTTCCAATTTAAATTGTCTCAGCATCTGCAACGACTTTGATGATTAGGGACCTGCAAAATCATATTAGTCTAAACTGGTGCGATCTTAGTCACACATGTTTCGATGCCAAAGTCAGCTTAACGTACGAAGCAACTAGGTATGAAGTAACTAGTCTCCGTTTTGCCTACCTCTAGAGTTTGCTTTCTCTTTTTACTTATGGTCGCTCAGGCTCCTCTAGGGTTTTTTTCACCATGCGACGGATGGTGGAGGAAATGAGGCTTGTACGGATGACGGAGGAAATTAGGGGCTTGGCCCCCGGGCACCTGCTCGACGTCGAGCTCTGCTCGGCCTGGTCCAATTTGGATCCGCCACTCTGTCAGCTTTGTTTGCGTGTCGTTTTTTCCTCCTATAACATATAATTTTGTTTTGTCTTTTTTATTTTTAAAAATTTTATTTTTCTCCTCACAATTCCTTTGATATGTTTTTCGTGTTTACCCATTGAATTATTAGTCCAGTCCTAAAAATAAAAGTATCTTTTTGGAAATATTTTTTCTTTCTAATATAATTTTAGATTTTGAAAATGCTTTTAAAATTTGATAACAAAATTTTACCTAACAATTCAAATATATTTTTGAAGAGGAATAAAGAGCYTACGAACGAAATTATAGAAAATGCGTAGTATAATTTTGAAAATTAAAAATTAAAAACAAAATAGCCATCCGAACCCAAGTAATTAAATAAATAAAAGAAAGGAGAAAAAAAAAAGAAAAATCTAAGAATAAAAGTCCAAACACCAACCGAGCGGTTCTTTGAGGAAGAAAAATCCCATTTCACTTTCTTCTTCGTGTCCTCCATTTTTAAAATCCTTTTCTTTTCATCCCTTCTTCTGCACCAGATTCCTCCCTCTAATGGATTCTCCACAACTTTCAGGTACTCTCTCTCTCTCTCTCTCTCTCTTATTTTCTTTTTTGAATCTCTTTATTTTCATTTTACNTGATTTAGTTTTTCAATTATACTATTTTCGTTGGTGAAGATTAAAATTGGTTCTTCTTGTTCTTGATGATACCGTCGATGAAAAATCTAGAGACGGAATGAGAAACTTTCAATCTTGGTGGCTGGATTCCTCCCTTCATTTTTTACCCATTTACTTGAGTGCAGTCAATTTTTTTTAACAATCGAAAATAGTTAAAAGAATAATACTTAGATATTATATCTATTTATTTTCTACGATAGAGAAAATAATAGGGATGACAATGGACGGAGTCAGGACCATCCCCAATCCCGCCCCGAAATTATATATATATTAGTTTTTTCTGGGAGAGATTTATAAATATTTTAATTTTTTAAAGATATAAAATTTTCTTTTGTGAAATAGTGAAAAATTTAATTAGAGTTGCAATGTTCTAAAATTTTAAAAAAAATTTATAAAAATTAACATATATCAATATTATTATATACAAAATATAAAAATTAATAAAATATTAAATAGGATGTCGACGGGACAGGAAGACCTCCCCATCCTCGTTAGGGACCTCGATTAGGATTCCCAATTTGACCCTTCAGTCAAACTGAAAACTTAGAGTCCGATTATTTTATTTTTAATTGAAAAAATTGGATAATGCATGTATTTCTTTGTAACTTATATTATTAATAATGAAAATTCAAAATCTTTAAATGGTAAAAAATAAATAAATAATAAGAACATTTTTTTCTACTATTTTTAGAATTGTCACAGGATTATGATTGATTAGTTTGCTATGTTTTATAACATATGATAATGAGTAATTTTGTTATTTTTTGTACAATAACAATTTTTAATTTGATTGTCCAAGTTTGAATTTTCTTCCCATGTATTGATATTTTTTAAATCAAGTCTCTCTCGATCAAGTCATCAACAACTTTTAGAGTTCATTTGTCGTCCAAATAAAGCATATTAAATGAGAGTAGTTGGTATGTGATTGAATCTTTTTTACATATAAAGAATAAAATTGAAATTCATCCAACATGGCGTCTAAATTAAAAATTTGCTACAAATTTTATAATGGAAATTCAATTAAATATTTATTTATTTAAAAATGGAAATGTGAATATGAACAAATATATATATGTATATAAAACAAGAATATCACTTAACAAAGTAATGGCTTTTCATAAAAAGCTTTCCAAAATTTCCATATTATTTTACCATATTCTCTCTATTTTTTATAATAAAAATAAAGATGAGACAAATAATTCAAAAGGAGCATTCCAATAATTAAATGGATAGTCTTTATTTGTCTAGCCAAGCAATAAATTTCTAGGCTACGGCTAAATTATAATTTGTTCCCGAGTGTGTATATATATATATATATATATATATATATATATATATATATATATATTTATATTTATTTATTTATTTGTTCTTCAACTTTTTAACATTTCCAATTTTTATTATTTATGTATTGAATTTTTTTCTACTCAAATCCTATCGATCAAGGAGTTTTTAAAAAATAACAATATATGGGCTAAAAGGTGGCCATTTTTTAGGTTCTCGATGTATACCAATATTTTAATTAGTAATTTTTTAAATAATAATTACTATGTTTAAAGTGATAAGTTTTTGCTAAAAAGAAAAAGGTGAGTAAGTTTTGATTTTATGGATGTGTGATAATTTTATTCCATCAAATTAAAATATAATGTATTTTCAATTTAATTAGTAAAGTATATTTTTTATATTACATCATCATTTTTGTAACTTAATTAAAACATAATAATTAAGTCCTTATTTGGTAATGCATTTATTTATGGTTTTCTATTTTTTAAACCAAGCTTTTAAACACTACTCCTATCCAATATTTACATTTCTTTTGTTTTGTTATATTCTTTTTACAAAATCAACATAAAATTTTTAAATCTAGAATATATATATATATTTGAAAAATCAATTTTATTTCTAAAATTTAGTTACAAATTCAAAGTTGTTCATTAAAAAAAAAAAAAACTACGAGGAAACAATATAGTCTTTAATAAAATAAAATTGAAAAATGAAACCATTATCTAATGAGTTTTAAAGTTTAGCAATTTAACCTAAATTAACTCAAAAGGGCTTAATTAATTAAAATGTTAGCAACTAGTACATAAATTTGATAACGACTTAATCAACATTTTCATAGATTGTATGAACTTAATATAATAATTCTAACCTACCTAAAAAGAGTGAAATACTTATTTATTATTTATTAATTATATATTTATCGTGAATTTTGTATTTATAATTTTTTCAAGATATCGATAGATATCTCTGAAAACCTTGTTAGCAAAAAACATATTATCAATATTTATATATCAATCGTGGTTAAAAGAAAAAAAAAATCTGTTTTCAAAGTGGAATATATTATATAAAAACAAAAAACAAAAAATCAAAAAAACAAAAAAAATACCAAAAAGTAAACGAAGAAAGCTTGGAGGATTTTGGCATCGCCAATGGCCACTTGGAGCTTGAAGCTTTGGCGGCCTCCACGTCTCCGAAGAACCAAAACAGTCAATTTCTGTCAAATTATCACCAGCCGAAGCCTGTTGGCTTCTGCCATTAATGTCATTCACGGAGATAATTTTCTTTCTCTGTCATTTCTTTTCCTTTCTCTGATTTCCCTTACAAACCCAGTGGCTGTGGTCAACTTATAACGACGCATTCCCTTCTTCTTCATCTGGGTTTTGCTTATAACCTCTGGTTTTTAAGAAAGTCGCCATTCCTTCCATGGATTGATGTTCAGGTTTTGCCCTAAACCCCCATTTTGTCCTGAGGACTGCAAATGAGCTGTAGCCGAGTTTTAATGACGCATTTCCCCTTTTGTTCTTCTGGGTTTTGCTTGTAACCTCTGGTTTCGAGAAAATCATTGTTCATTTGACGGATTCTTGTTTGGGTTTTGCCTTAAACCCCCATTTTGTTTTGAGTGCAAAGAATGAACTGTAGCCGAGTGTTGTAACGACGCATTTTCATTTTGTTTAATCTGGGTTTTGCTTGGGATCTTTGGTTTGAACTTTAAAGAACCATTCCTTCCATGGGTCCATGCTCACGTTTTGGGTGTAGTTTCTTTCTTCTTTTGCTCTCTCGTCTTTTTCTTTCACCGTCGTGGTTTTGTTTTTTCGCCCTTTTTGAGGTCAAAAAGCTCTCTCTGGTTTTCTGTCTCTCTGTCGCTGGCTTTGTCTCTTTCTCTCTTTCTATGCTTGATTCGATGTAAATCAAATATCCTTTGTCTTTCATGTTTTATTATTTATTTGGTTATCTTTTCCACGCGATCGTTCCTCGGTTTTGCAGCATATTGCTATGGTTTTATCGCCCTTCTCTGTATTTTCTCTTAACATCTTCCATTTAAAATAGTTCTTCAAAATTTTGATTAAGTACTTGATCTATGTATATCTAAGTTCAATCCAACTGGGAATTTTCTGGATATATATATATTTAAAAGGGGCTACTGTTTCCTTTTGGAGGTATTGAACCATCCAACGTTCCTTCGTTTTATAATATCGATAGCTATCATTTCTGGAAGACTTCATCAAAAAAGTTATCTTATGGAAAGACGAACTCAGCATACAGCTCACTCTTCACAACCTTCGAACTTGCCATCTTTTTGGCTTCTTCCCTTTTATCTTGCGCCTCTGGGTTTCTCCTAATCTGTGAACTATTAAATATTTCTTTGTTTAAGAATATTAATAAATAATAACCTTGATCTTCATCATTATTGGAAGATTTTGTCGTCCTTAACTAAAATGATATCCTTGGAAAGAGGAACCCAGAAAACAGCCAGGCCAATGTTCGCCTGGGAACTTTCCATCTTCTTGCATTTAAGATTGCTTCTTTGGGAAAAGTCATATCTACTTCCATATATTGTCAATTATGTTCATATTATTCTAAAATGACGTGGGTCTAGTACTACGCAGAAAAATTCATAGTGTGAATGGAGGGAACGATTACTACAGAAGTAATATAAAATTTCTCAAATTGTCCTAATTTCTTATCCCATGGTTGAACCCAGTTTGCACTACCTTTTAACTCCATCGATTCGACTTGGTTGTTCATCTCAAACCTTTTTTGTTTGCATGATTTCATGCAACTATTTTGTAACTTCATTGCTTCTACCCTCTTGTTTGCTTTGCATTTTCCATTGCAATTTGGCTTTGTAATCTTACTTTTCTGTTCATTGCTTTGGAAATCTTTGTTTCATATTGAAGGACCTTCAGAGCCAGAACTAGCATTAGGAATATGAACTGACTTTTGTTTTGGTTTCTTTTTCACTTTTCAGGGAGATAGAGGAATAACTTCATGATTTTCAAGTACTGGATGGTTATATAGTTCTGTTCTAAGAATTTGCAGCCATGGCATCTACATCTTGGTTGAATTCACCTTCTTGCTCCATGATTGAATCCTCAGAGGACAAGGCTCTTGGAGCTATAATCCAATGGTCACGGTTTATTTTCCTTTCACCCTGCCCTCAAAGGGTTTTATTATCCTCTATTGATATCCTGTTCTTGCTCATACTCTTAGTTTTTCCATTGCAAAAGCTATATTCTCGATTCAAATCTGGTGGCCGGATAAACTCCGACCTAAGCAAACCTCTCATAGGAAACAGTAGACCTCTAATTAGGACCACCGTCTTCTTTAAACTCTCTTTAATCGTTTCTGGCCTGTTAACCATTTGCTACATTGTCTCAAGTATCTTGACATTTTCCTCGAGTGTTCAATCGACATGGAGGATTGCAAATGGCATGTTTTGGTTGGTTCAAGGATTGACTCATGCAGTTATTGCAATCTTATTAATCCATGAAAGAAGATTTGAAGCTACCAAGCATCCACTTACTCTACGAATTTACTGGACGATAAATTTCATAATCACGTCCTTGTTTATGGCATCCGCAATTATCCGTATGGTCTCTACCGGAGCAACTGATGAACTCAATTTGACTTTGGATGATATAATTTCCATTGCCTCATTTCCATTATCATTAGTTCTTCTTTTTGTTGCCATTAAAGGATCAACAGGGGTTATGGTGGCCACAGCAGCCAATGCAGAATTTGATGGACAAAATGAATTAATTGAATTGGATCCAAGTAAATCAAATGTTTCTTTATTTGCTTCGGCGTCTTTTATATCGAAGGCATTCTGGCTGTGGATGAATCCCTTGTTATGTAAAGGTTATAAAGCCCCTCTGCAACTAGAAGATGTTCCAACTCTTGCACCTCAACACAGAGCTGAGAAAATGTCAGCCCTGTTTGAATCTAAGTGGCCTAAACCTCATGAAAAGTCCACTCACCCAGTTCGAACCACATTGCTCCGTTGCTTCTGGAAGGACCTTGCCTTAACTGCCATCCTTGCTATCGTGCGCCTTTGCGTCATGTTCGTTGGGCCTGTCCTTATTCAACGTTTTGTTGACTTCACTGCTGGAAAAGGGAGCTCCCCAAATGAAGGATACTACCTTGTACTGATTCTTCTAGCTGCTAAGTTTTTTGAAATTCTCACTACTCATCAATTTAATTTTAACTCCCAAAAGCTTGGGACTCTCATTCGATGCACATTGATTACATCTTTGTACAAGAAGGGATTAAGGTTATCATCATCTTCTAGACAGGATCATGGGGTTGGACAGACAGTAAATTACATGGCTGTTGATACTCAACAGCTTTCTGATATGATGTTACAATTGCATGCTGTATGGTTGATGCCATTACAAGTTGGTGTCGGTATGGTGCTTCTCAGTGCATACCTCGGTCTTGCGACAGTTTCTACACTGGTTGCACTTGTAGGCGTTCTTCTATTTGTTGTGTTCGGCTCTAAGCGAAACAATAAGTTCCAATTCAATGTAATGAGGAATCGTGATTTGAGAATGAAGGCAACGAATGAGATGCTTAATTACATGCGTGTGATAAAGTTTCAAGCGTGGGAAGAGCACTTCAATGATAGAATTCAAGATTTTCGCAAATCGGAATTTGACTGGCTGACCAAGTTCATGTATTCAGTCTTTGGGAACATTATAGTCATGTGGAGTGCACCAGTCATCATGTCAACTCTCACCTTTGGGACTGCTCTACTGTTAGGCATAAAACTTGATCCTGGGACAGTGTTCACAACGACAACCATCTTTAAGATATTGCAGGAGCCTATCCGGACTTTTCCTCAATCTATGATCTCACTTTCACAAGCAATGGTATCACTTGGGAGGCTGGACCGGTTCATGTTGAGCAAAGAGTTGGTTGAAGCTTCAGTTGAAAAAACTGAAGGATGTCATGGCAATATTGCTGCGGTAGTTGAAAATGGCGTATTTAGCTGGGATGATGATGCGAATGGTGTAGTAGTTTTGAAAGATATAAATTTGAAAATTAAGAAGGGAGAGCTTACCGCCATCGTTGGGACTGTGGGATCTGGAAAATCCTCTATCTTGGCTTCGATTCTTGGCGAGATGCATAAAATGTCTGGAAAGGTATAAATTTATTCTAATTGAAAAGGTAGAAGTCCAAGTTTATGTTCGACTCCATATATGATAATTATGACAAATCATTTATCCAATTTGTTTATATCTTATGTTGCACACTTCCAAAATAGGTTCATGTTTGTGGAACTACTGCTTATGTTGCTCAAACATCATGGATTCAAAATGGCACCATTGAAGAGAATATCCTATTTGGTTTGCCTTTGAACAGACAGAAATATAGGGAGGTTATCAGGGTTTGTTGCTTAGAGAAAGACTTGGAAATGATGGAGTATGGTGATCAGACTGAGATCGGTGAGCGTGGCATAAACCTCAGTGGCGGGCAGAAGCAGCGGATACAACTTGCCCGAGCTGTATACCAGGACTGTGATATCTATCTTCTTGACGATGTATTTAGTGCGGTTGATGCTCATACTGGATCTGAAATTTTTAAGGTCTTATTCATTGGCGTCTCCCATATCAACTGCTTATTAAGGCCGCATAATTGTGTAACAATGCATACTAATCTATACCTTTGTTTCTTCAGGAATGTGTAAGAGGAATTCTCAGAGGCAAGACCGTTATTCTTGTTACCCATCAAGTCGATTTCTTGCACAATGTCGATATAATCTTCGTATGTTCTTAAATACCTTCTTTATTCATTATTGGTTTCATTACATTCACAAGTGGCATATAGTCTCAGATGTTCCTTTTACTGGTAAGTTTTTGGAGCATTTATTTGCTTCTTTTTTATATTAGGTAATGAAAGATGGGATGATTGTGCAATCTGGAAAATACAATGAGCTAGTAGAGGGTGGGATGGAATTTGGAGCTCTAGTTGCAGCACATGAGAGCTCCATGGAAATTGTGGATAACTGCAATCCTATGCTTGAAGTTTCTTCTCCCAAACCTCCTCAGTCACCTTCCCAGCACCACAGGGAAGGGAATGGTGAAAAAAGCCACGATGATCAACCACAGTCTGATAAGGGTTCATCAAAACTCATCCAAGATGAGGAGAGGGAAACTGGGAGTGTCAGCTTGAATGTTTACAAACTTTATTGCACTGAGGCTTATGGATGGTGGGGAGTAGTATTGGCCTTGTCACTCTCCCTAGCGTGGCAAGCATCTATGATGGCAGGTGATTATTGGTTGGCATATGAAACTTCAGCGGACCGCGCTGCAACCTTCAATCCTTCATTGTTTATTTCTGTGTATGCGGTGATTGCTGTTGTTTCAGTCGTGTTGGTGGTTTCAAGATCTCTTACTTTTGTGATCATAGGGCTTAAGACAGCCCAGATTTTCTTTTCACAAATTCTTAATAGCATCTTACATGCCCCCATGTCATTTTTTGACACCACGCCATCCGGAAGAATACTAAGTCGAGTAAGTTCTACCACTATGAACCACTTTTTTCTTAACTAATTTCTGTTTTACCTTGCACTGGAACCAAATTCAATTTTTACTTTTTCATGTAGGCCTCAAATGATCAGACGAACATTGATTTGTTCATCCCCTTCTTCATGACTGTTGCTACTGCAATGTACATTACAGTACTCAGTATCTTCATTGTCACATGTCAATATGCTTGGCCTACAGTTTTCCTAGTGATTCCACTTCTATTTCTTAACGTTTGGTACCGGGTAAGGACAATCTCTTATCTCAATATGAATCCTCAATTGATACTGTGAAAGTGTTCATAGAATGTATTGTTCTTATATGCTCCAATTTCCTTTACTGTTTTCATTTTACAGGGATACTACCTTGCTACGTCTCGCGAATTGACTCGTCTCGACTCGATAACAAAAGCCCCAGTGATTCATCACTTCTCAGAAAGCATACAAGGAGTTATAACTATCCGCTCTTTTGGAAAACAAGATAAGTTTTGCAAAGAGAATGTTAAACGAGTTAATGATAATTTGCGTATGGATTTCCACAATTATGGATCGAATGTGTGGTTGGGATTCCGTTTGGAGATGCTAGGAAGTCTAGTGTTTTGCATTTCAGCATTGTTCTTGATCATACTACCTAGCTCCATTATCAAGCCCGGTGAGTGTGAATTGTCCATCCTGATGGAAAAATATGTCATATTCTTTAAGCATTTGACAGACTGTGCTTAAAATTATCATTACTTATTGCAGAAAATGTCGGTTTGTCGTTGTCGTATGGATTGTCTTTGAATAGTGTCATGTTCTGGGCCATATACATGAGCTGCTTCATTGAAAACAAAATGGTGTCTGTCGAGAGGGTGAAGCAATTTTCTGTCATACCACCAGAAGCGGAATGGAAAATTAAAGACTCTCTTCCTTCCCCAAATTGGCCTTCCCATGGAAATGTTGATCTCAAAGATTTGCAGGTAATAGGCTCTTGAGCTACTGACTACTTTCTTCATAAGATCTCATTTTTCGTCTTCCTCCCTTGATTTTTTGAGATACCCTCCTTAAACTAGTGTTAGAGTGGGTGAAGCTTTTCTGACAGTAGTAGGGTGGGCCTCGAGCATAATACAACGAGTGGGGCTCGAGACTATGATTATTGAAAAACATTGAATTAGATGATATAGGAGCTGAACTCTCTGCAGCCTATATTACAATACTTCTGTTTCAAGATATGGTAATGTGATTATCCATCAATTCCCTACTATATGTTTTGTTAATTAAATTTTTTTGCCGAGTAACAGGTTCGATATCGGCCAAACACTCCTTTAGTCATTAAGGGTATTACTTTAACCATCTATGGAGGAGAGAAGATCGGTGTCGTTGGTCGAACGGGGAGTGGGAAATCAACTCTAGTCCAAGTGTTGTTCAGACTAGTGGAACCTACAGGAGGAAAGATAATTATTGATGGCATTGACATAGCCACGTTGGGGCTTCACGATCTCAGGTCTCGGCTCGGGATCATTCCGCAAGAACCAGTTCTTTTCGAGGGGACGGTGAGAAGCAATATCGATCCAGTTGGTCAGTATTCTGATGAAGAGATATGGAAGGTAAGAACATTCTTTATATTATATGCCTTATCCGTTGATTTAAGCACGTCACACTAGAGTGAGAATTTGAAACATTTAAATTGGCAATAGTGCTGCAACTGCAACACGATGAGCATGTCTTTGTTTCGATGGTCTGTGATTCAATCTCTATCTTGAACTATAACAATATATAATCGATATTTCAGAGCTTGGATCGGTGCCAACTCAAAGACGTCGTGGCTTCAAAAACCGAAAAACTAGATTCTCCAGGTGCTTTATCTGATTATCTCTTCTTCTCTTCTCTAAACTTTTTGAATGATGGATTCTGTTGTTTGTGTCTTTAGAAATCTACCAAATATTCACTGTTGCCAATCTTAACAGTTGTTGACAATGGAGAAAACTGGAGCGTGGGGCAGAGGCAGCTTCTCTGCCTAGGAAGGGTAATGCTAAAGCGCAGTAGGCTTTTGTTCATGGACGAAGCAACTGCATCGGTCGACTCGAAAACCGATGCTTTGATTCAAAAGATCATCCGAGAGGATTTCGGGATGTGTACGATCATAAGCATAGCCCACAGAATTCCCACAGTCATGGACTGCGACCGAGTTTTGGTTATTGATGCAGGCAAGTGTTATTAACCCGACACGATATCTAAACCATCTCAAGTCCCCCAAAGTAACCTCTTTTTATTCATATTGAACAGGAAAAGCAAGAGAATTTGATAGTCCCTCTCAGCTGATTCAGAGGCCATCACTTTTTGGGGCATTGGTTCAAGAGTATGCCAACCGCTCCTTAGACCTCTAAGCGGACTGCTTTGCAATTTGGTTAGGCTTCTTGATGTCGAGTCTCGAGCAGCAACGCAAGCCGTAAAGAACGCGAGCTCGGGTTTTGTTTCGGATGAGTAGAAAATAGTGATGGAAAAAGAAATCAAGCCTATCCTTCCAAAGATTAATCAGGTATAGCAACCCTTCACAATATTGGCTTTGGCCATTGGTATGATTCTATTGGGAGTATTTGGCCAAAGTTTTATTATTAATTTTGTCACTATTTTTGTTTTAAAAATATGTGTAAGATTAGAATTCTTAATTTGATACTTACAAAATTTTTAATTATTTAGTATAAATTAACAAATTCATCATTAATGTATTATCGAATAAATTGGAAATTTCGTACATAACACGCATAAAGACTAGTAATTATAAATGTAGGCATAATTAAAAAGCTAATTTCACTTGATCATAATTGCAAATATTCTCACTTAGGCAAAATTTATGCAGTAATTGTATCTGTGAGCCTTCATACTATAATTTTGTATTTATAAATAATTTTTGTAATATTAGTGTACTCTACATAACTTTTTATATGATCTTGAGGTGGTAAAGAGTATCCCAGAAAATTTCCCCCATGAGCTAAACTTCTTTCAAGAGTATACGTTGAGCATATCTCATGCCAAAATTAATTAATTAAGGAGTTTAACTCATTTATTTAATATCATTTAATGGCAAAAATTAGTAGAAAATATTTAGGTCGTGACTAAACCCTAAATTGATAGCTCATTATTTTTTTAAGAAAATCTCAATTTTGATCTTTTTGCAATGATATTATTTTCTAGCACATTAATCTACCTAATGCTCACATTTTCTATAGAAATGGCATTTTTCGAACATTATTTGTCTTACAAAGTTTTTTAGAAAAATATAAAAATTTGAAAACGTATTTACCCCGTTAGAAATATGACATATATCCCGTGAAAGTTTGAATTCATGATTAATTAGTCGGAAATATATATCTTAACTGGTTGAACTACATTCATGTTGGCCTATTGTTCATGAGTTATATCATATAAACTCATTATATAGGTATATGATAGAATAATGGTAAAATCATTAGTTATATCATATACTAATTGCTACTTTTACCTAACCATTATTTTAGACACATCATGTTCTTTAGATCATTTATGAGATGCTTTAAATTTTTATTTTCTTGATACCATTCTTTTAAAATCGTCAAATATTTTTTAGCCAAAACTTTGGAACTAATTTTATAGTTTCTCGTCTCATAGCCAAAAGTTGGAAAATTCTATAAACACTTGGGTACTATTTTAAATATTTATAGAAAAAGAAATGTTTCATTTTGTATTTCTGCAGTTCTCTTTTAATCACAAAATTGAAAACTATTTTTTTTTTCTTTTAAATTTGACTTGACCTCAAATTTCTCTAGGATACATAAGAATAATATTCATCCTGCATGCATTATATAGAAGTAGAACAAATAAGAGAGAATACCAAAAGATTTTGAGCCCCTAATTGATATATTCAATCATATAATATAAATACAAGTGCAATAATATTTATTTTGTGACATCAATCTGCCAAATGCTGTCACATTTTCTTCTACATATGCATAATTTGAACATTATTGTATATCTATATATTATAGTAGAAGTGTGTGATTTTGATTATTCATTGCAGATTATGATAAAGAGAAGTATTGGGTAGATTGTTGTGGAGCTCCAAAATGGTATCCAAATTGGCAACTTTCCCTTTCAAAAAGTTAGAAAACCATTTAGCAGAGAGCTTGGGATATCGTTTTAAATCTGGATCATCCAAATCTATGTAGAATAATCCGTAGCTTGATTGGTAACCATCCAATAGTTCAAATAGGTCCAGAAATGACCATGTGAAATACCCTTTTATATTTGATCCATTCCTGCGACAAATTTCGACGTCGACATTTCTGTAAGTATCGAAAAAATTGGTAAAATATTAAAAAAATATCAACAAAGTATTACTGATGGGACGTGATATTAGTATTATTAAATTTGAACTCAATTTAAAAAGAATAAAATACTTATTTTTATTTTTATAAATTTTTAAAAATATTCATAACATTTAAAAGCTTGATTTAGGGTTAAAAATGCTCTTTTCTTTCAAACTAACTATTTACCTCACATACCATTGTTTGCCCTTCTAAATGACCATCTATTTGATTTTTTTTTTCGAATTTAACATGTGGAAATAGAGATTCGAATTTTTATCTTTTAATCGAAAATATATTTTAACCATTATAACTATGCTCAAGTGAGAGATCACAATTATTTGATTTTAATCAATGTCCTACCACATTCAATCTTAAGACTAATACTTTCAAAAGAAAATTTAATCTATTATTATTATATTTTTCTTTTCTTAAAGTAGAAGCATCAGATTTGATCTAGTAAAGAAATGATATTTAGTAAAAATATGAAGATTGACCCTTTGAAGAAATGTCACATTAAAGTTAAAATATATAATATATATATATATATATATATATATATATATATATATATATATATTACCTCAAAGCATCAAGAACTGCTCCGATGTAGCCATGCATGTACTCCACTCTTGGCACATCTTTCAATGATGAATTTCTCTTAATTGGAAGACCTAATAAGATATTCCCACCAAAAATCTATCAAGTAAATTCAGTATAAAAATACGTTAAATTAACTACTACCTGAATTTTTAAAAATTTCAGTGTCATATATATATATATATGTACATCATCGTTAGTGAAATGATTTAGCACAACATGACATAAAGAAATTGCAAGACAAAATTCAAGCTAACGTATTTTCGTGTGCACCACATTTTACGTGGTGTTAGATCATTATTCATTAGTCCAATTAACATGCAAACGTCACATTTAAATAATAATGTCAATGATATGAATTCATTAAAATCATGGGAGGTTTCTCTTTTCAGTTTAAACACTAAATAAACACAGAATCTTCTTTTGGCAGAACTTGGAAATATAAATTATATTATTTTTTTGAAGGGGTAGAGAGAGAGACCATTCTCATAGACATAAGTAGGAGGGTTGCCATAAACTTGCTTCAAGTACTCAATCACTCCTTGCAGGCTCTATAATGAAAATGGGTAAACCAAGGGTATCAAAGAAACAAAAATCAAGCATAAATTATATAAAATATTACAAATATATAGAACTTAATTATAATATATATATATATATATTAATTAATGATTATAGTTAATCGTATATGATTGATTATAGTTAATCAATTGACAGGTATATTTGGCCAATACAACCCCCCTTTTTTTATATCTATCATTGATATATCTCAGCCCTCAAAAAAAAAATTGGTAGGTATATTAGTTTTATAGTCCATCAATTTATAAGCATATCATTAATGACTATTATTATGTTTAGGTTAAATTACGGTCTTTTAGAGTTACGTGTCTAATAAATTTCTAAACTTTTTTTTATGTCTAATACATCTCTAAATTTTTAATTTTGTATCTAATAAGTTCCTAATATAACCTATTATACATTTTTTTAAATTCACCAACTTATTAATCATGGGATATAATTTTGTGTATAATAGGACTCTAAACTAGCTTTCAACTCTATATTTAATAGGTCTAGAGGAAATTTTTAAAAATGTCGAATAGATCAGAAACCTATTAGATACAAAATTGAAATTGTAAGCATCTCTTATATATTTTTTAAAGTTGAAGGATTTGTTAGATATGATATTAAAAATTTATGAAAAGTTGTAATTTAACTTAAATCAAATATACTAGTAACTCTAGCTAATTAATGTGTAGGTATGTCACTGATTCATATGTTATACTAATCAAATAAAAACATTTGCAATTGTTCTTTTAAAATGTGCTAAATTTGCAATTATTTTTAGAAAGATCCAAAAATACATGTTCGTAAATATTTTATAAAATTATACTAAAATCAATGGTTCAGCTTCCTTTAAAAAGCAAACCCAACCCGAATTTTCGGTTAACATTTTCTTGTTTTTTGTAAAATGAAAAAAAAAACATGTGTGTTGTTTTCTATTAAAATAAAAGCTTAAATATTCTTGTTTTCTTTTTTATTTTTAGTTCCAATACCTTTAAAGCGTATGTTTTAGTCCTCGTATAATCAAAACATTCGTTTTGATTTTTGAAAAAAATGATCATTTTAATCCCTTCATTTTTATTTTTATTTCATTTATTTTGATCAAAATTTTAGCATGTCATTCAACTCGCTAAATTTTTTGAAATATAGCCATAAATTGTACTAAACGGTTTCGATAGTGTATAAAATTTGTGTTAAAATTTTATAAATATAGATTAAAATTGTCACTTTTTAAAAATACACAAAACAAAAAAAACATAAAAGACGTCTTGAAAGTACAATAACTAAAATGGATATTTTCAAAATATAGAGATCAAAATGATATTTTAATA